GCAAGACAAAAGTCTTGCGATGGTCGTAAGGTGTATGGGCACCTTTAGTCTGGCTGCAAACTTTAGAGGGCCTTCAAACAAGCTGGCAAAATCCAACAGCACTCTGCTTTGTCTCCTAATTATAAGATTACTAAGCATGAACACCTGTTTTGTCCAAGTGTGCAGGTTTATGATATGAAAAAATGAGGGGGAGCCAGTTTGAGGGAGTGAGGGAGAAACATTTGGTGTCAGCAGTGAAACAATACACATGGCTTCAAAAGAACAATCACTGATTCCTCTATCATCTGTCTGTCAGGGTCTGCTTGTATAGGTGGAAATCCATAACAAGGAAACCTAGCAAGACATGCTTTATGTTGAGACAGATCACAGCTACCTCATACAGCTACAAAGACACCAGGATGACAGGGCAAGTACAGTGCAAAAAGTCAAAGAAGCATAGCATTCTTTGCTGAAAATCCCCATGTGGTAGAAAAAAGCAGTATAATTTCATTAGTCTCCAAACTGTGAATGCATTTCTCCATTACATGTAAAGGGCAAACACATTTATTATAAAATTATTTAAACACGATAGCAGGAATACTTCATTTACCAATAATAGCATTCCTCTGGCAATCACAGGCGCCAACTTTATGCTGCTGCGGAACTGGTTTAATATCTTGGGAGCAGTTTAGAAAGCTAATACTTCTCTTGTTGGTTAGATGTTTGTCTGCTAGTGCTGAATCCAAATGCACTACAACACACTGCATTAAAAGCATGTGAGCAACACAGACAAATTTGTAAGCACTTTGCTGGTTTTGAAACCTTTTTGGGGAAACTTGTGATATGTAAGGTAATAAAGCATTTATATGTCTTGAACCACAGATGATTTAATGCTGAATTTATCTATTGGTTTTACCCTATATGCACTCTTAACAGGAAAATTGTTGTCAGATGAAAGCTTTCTCACAAAGTCAGAGACCACAAACAGCTCTTTACTCAAATAATTAGGCATGCATTCTCAACATGATTTTATTTCTAATAAGACATATTATAAATATGCCATCCACCTAATGTAATCTAGAATATATGAATTACATTCAATTCTCAATGGTTCATTAAGGCAGTGCTAATTTATTTAGTGGGAGTGGTCCGCTTTTAAGTAAAAAGCAATAAAGATTTTTATACAAAACTGAAAGAGCATTTGAGAATTGAACATGGATATGGACATATTGTTGTTTGAAGATAATTTGTAACTTTGCCCATGTAGAGATATGTGACTCTTGATAGGGCACCCCTGGAGCACTGAGTATAAATCCTATGTAAACTTTGTGGCAATCAGTGGTGGAGCTTACATAAAGTTAATGACTTTGTTTCCTTCCTCACCTGACAGTGTTTAGGCCTGTTGATTGGCTTCTCAGGCATGACCACTGCATTTTGGGAGGAACGGGAGAAGGTCACATGCTCCCCATAACCATAAATATCATATATTCCTCAGGACTTCTACAGAAAGCGCTGTGGTGAAGGGTGACCTATCAAGGAACCTTGTCACTTTGCCCAGTCATGTTCTCTTTTTTTTTTTATATACAGGGGAGGGGTGTTATATATGCGGTATGGGGTATAATATTTAGGAAAGTGTTACATAAAGGTATGAAGGGCAAAAAATAGGGCAGTGATATATACAGAGGTACAGGGGGCATGGGTGTTATATAATGTTATGGGAGGAGTAAAAATGGGGGAGAGGTATAATATAGAGGTTTGGGGGGAATATTATGGAAATGGGCATTATATAAAAAGAGGGAAGGGTATCATATACAGTTGATTTATTAATTATGGTCAAGATTAAATAAACCTTTTTTTTTTGTTGCTAGATAAAAATAAAATATTGCATATATATTTTAGCCTGCAAATTTAGTTCACAGCATTCTTTCTTAAGCTGGCCATACACCTATAGATTTGTTTCTATCAGCCTATGGTCAGATGGAAAAAGTGTAACAGATTCCTCCATCCACACAGTTTAGCGTAGAGGAATCTGTTGCACCTTTTTCAATCTGACCTTCGGCTGATAGAAAAAAAAATCTATACATGTATGGCCAGCTTTATGCTTTTTGGGCTCACCTTAGTCCTATTGATAACACAAGTCTGTTTGCTGTGCTGAATAACTTAAGCACACTAAAGTATATGAATCAATTTATGCACAGTAGTCAGGGACCCTGTATCACCCCTTACCGGACGACTCCATTTGATCTCTGCCATAGTGCACTGGGAAACATTTGTCATATATTTAATGTTTATTTGTAGAACACAATTTTATAGACATTATTATTTTATCTTATATTTTAACAACTTATAAACTTTAAAGAAGAAATACAGTTTGCCTTTAAAGGGGATGTTTGTGTGTTTCAAAGAAATGCATGCATACTATCCATGTTCAGAATAAGACAAATTAACAGTAGCTAACAAAATGGTGTGAAACTGCACAGACAGAAGATCTTCCTCTACCACGGTCATGTGAAAATGTGCACAGTTTAACATAAGAAATGCCAATTTTATGTATTGACTGAAATAACTGGCTTTAAGCCTACCTCTCAGAACCTGCAGCAACACAGGTCCATGAGTCTTAAAGGAGAACTATGAGGAGTGCTTTTCACTCACCTTCTAGTTCTAGCCGACCTGTGACAATGAGACTGTCACAGATCGGCTCAGTAGATCGAGAAGTGAGCGAACACATAACGGCATTCGCTCACCTCTCGATCCTGTCACAGCTCTCTGCCGTGACAGGGGAGGGGCTGGATTCCCCCTTCCGCGCTCCGATCCGCCAGCTCTCACTGGCGGCTCGGACGGGGAGGTGGCGGGTACAGCTGGCTCTGCCTCTAGACAGGCAGAGCCAGCTGTCACTCACGCAGCTGGGCGGATCTAGACATAATTATCGGGATCCGTTTAGCTGCGGCGTCTCAGTATACTGCGAGCAGTAGCTCGCGGCATACTGTGGTGTTTCAGTATACCGCGAGCTGTAGCTCGTGGTATACTGAGCTTAGGGTGACGGGAGGACGCTAGTTTGTGTCCTCCAGTTACCCTAAGGAGAACTATGGGGAAAAGCCTTAACCCCATAGTTCTCCTATAACCATACTTCCTGAATTAATTGTGTACACTCACGAAATATGACTACACTCCACCCATGTTGTCAAATATTATGCTATGCGCACACCAACAGAACGAGGCCTAGAAACATCGTGGAAGTGAATAGTAGATTCATTATACAGTAATTAAAAGCACCCGCAATATGTTCCTCACTCTCAGTATGCACTGACTTCTGTGAGCTGAATTAGTTGGACATATGATTTCTACAGGTTTTCTTATGTAAGAAGAGCCTGATGTTAGGTATACATAAGGGCAAAAGAAACCGCATGCAGCATTTTTGGGAACTAAGTGCTGTCACCCCTGCCTAGTTTTCTTTTGCTATACTACTCAATCCCACACTTTCATCTATACCACATAAAGGTTAATAATTATGTAGTCCCAAGATAATTAGAAAAGCTAATTACTCTCCTTGAGATAGGAAATGTGCATAATACACAAGATACCTCTGAATTTCTGGCATGATCAACGGGTATTTTTTTTTTTTATTACCCAAAATTATAAAACGGATATAACAAAATAGTTCCAATGGTATATTCAGCAGAGCAAAAGGTAGCAAATAAGACATGTTTATTGTTAGGGTTTACATACACTTTAAGCCTAGGGTTTTACAACAACTTCTGCTATGGAATAATGGATGTTCACTGCAGTTGCGTCACAAGGGGGGTGCACCTGGGTGACACCATTGCAGGGGTGACACCAAAATGACTGATGGTCATTTTGGTGTCACCCCCCTCTAAAAAGTCAGGGCACTCAGTCATGGACCGAGAGCCCGACAGTGTCAGGAGAGAGGAGGGGACCCGGTGGCATACCTCATCCCGCCGGATGAACGTCTCTCTCAATCAGATGGCAGCGCATGCACAATGACGTAATTGCGCGCGCACACACACACGAGGTGATGTCACGGCGGGGTGTCCCTTGGTCTGGAGACTGGGTGACACCTGGCCTCGGGACGCCCCTGGTTCACTGCATTAGTAATATATATGTTAGACTATGCCGGAAAATTTCTGAATATGATCATTCAAGCACCCTTTTCTGTACAGTATTTATAAGCTCATCAAGTAATAAATGGCAGCTGATGAAATATAACATTGACACTACAAGTAGTATGACATACTTTTTTTCTTTACACTTGTAGTTCCTTCAGCTGCTATTTATTGGCAGTTGATAGCTATAATGCACACATCATTCAGCGAGCAGTGTCTTTTCTTTAAAAAAAATAATCCTGCTTAATATACTTTAAAACACTACTTTGATAAGCAACTAGGTCACCACAAAATTTTAAGGCAGAGAGAGACAACACGAAGTAGACGACTGCAGACAGTCAGCACTTCTATGTGCTGCAACAGCAGTGTAAGTCCTGGCATGTGGGGAATTGCACGCCCAGGCCAGTCTCACCTAAACCGAACTGATGTACGAGTGCAAGAGTTGAACGTTGTGAAGGGGCAGAGGAAGTCCCTATCTAAACAGACCAAAGTGTTTTAGCTAGGCAAGCTACAGTCTTGCTCTGATCAGGGCAGAGGTCCAGCCTGGTTACTGATGGAACCAGTTCAGCAGGGAGGCTAAGACTGGGGTAGTTCTGTCTTAAAGCTGAACCCTGGGTACAAAAGCTTTAATTAAAATATACTCCTTGATAGCCACAAAGGACACCAAGATTCAAGCACCAATACACATGGCTCTTGAACAACAAATAGCCAGGAGGCTGAGAGATATTTGTGCTCACTGTTATGCTAAAGAGCCCCTGCAAAGGCAGACCACTATGATTTATATAAAAAAAAATGGGCAGAAAGCCCTAAACCATACTCTGCTAAGTAGACAGTCAATGGAAAACTCTCCATTTGAAGGTATAGCTTACAATACATAATACAAGTAAAAAGTGAGTTTACCTTAGCTTCAGTTTCTCCTCTATGCAGGGTGTACAGGTGGTGCACAGCACTCTGTGAAGATGACCACGGGTGAGTAAGGATTTGGAATACATGGAAATCATGCCCTTGTGTGTCTGACGTGACCAGCAGCATCCCTAGAAAATCAGAACAAATACAACATGTTCATATCTTTATTCACGCCTAACATACATTTGTCATTGTGAGATGCCTGTTCATGTTGTCTTAATACTTAAAGTCCATTTCCACCTATATAAGTGATTAGCATTTATTGTGGTAATGAAGAGGTGTGGTAATGTACTGTATATGTGTGTACATTTTCATGACTCAAATTGCAGGCGTTCTTCATTTTTTAATGAAGGTTTTATTAGGCCTGAAGCCTAAAAGTTCAACATTTTCTCCACAGGAAAGTCAGACACCAGGGTCAGATGGTAATTGGGCTGTAAACAGCTCTTCCCCTCCTTTTTATTTATTCTAAAACGATCAGTAAACACTAGTTTTGCCTTTGCACACAATACACTGTCCGGGGGAAGAGGGGAGAATGCCACTATGAATACTAATACATGTAGAGCTCAAATAGAGCTTGCATTCCCATGAGAATGAGGAGGACAGCTAACAAAAAATGTAAGTTTCTGTTTTCATATACAGCAACTACATATGTGTACTTCATGTACACTCAGTGTTCATTGCTGACCTGTTTTAAAAAAATGCCACTGCATAGATGGAAATGGGATTTAAGCTCAGATCAGAATTGAAACTGATGTAGTTTACATTACATTTACATGAGGGCATTTTATAATAAAATATGTATACATTGCCTGAAGTTGAACCTGCATGTTAAAATCTGATTATACAATCTCCTTTATATGTACCAAGAACAATTGTGTTCAAAGGTCTGCATGATTGGATATATAATTTATTGTTTAGATCGACCCTCATTATATAAACATGGTAAATCTAAAGTAGATTTACCGAGCTTATTATATGTTTACATTAGCTACACAGTGCAATGCAGTGTTCTACCGTGTCTACTGGATGGAAGCGGGTAGGTGCAGTGCCTTGCATTGTTACAACACAAGGCACTGTTTATTTTTTAGAACTTCATTGGCAGTGTACAAAGTTGTAAAGGAACAAAAAAACAGACAGAAACTTAAACTGCAGGTTTAAAATATAAACGGAGTTGAAAACAACTATAACAGTAAATGGCAAAAACAATGGAGAAAGTCCAGGACATTGTCAGTGCCAAGCCAGAGGTCAGAAGCCACAATAGGTAGTCAGCTGAACTAGATCAGGGAACACTGAGAATTAACGGAAACAAAGCCAGAGTCAAAAACCAGGAACAACAGCAGTGCACTTGGTTGATCAGAACAAACGCAAGGGCGGAGACTGAATGGACAAGCTGATGGTTAAATAATGAGCTTGTGCTTGCATCATCACTCTGGGACAGGTATTTGCCTGGAGTTTTGTCAGGAGCTGCAGAATTATGATGATGATGGTTTGAGCATAACAGGGCGCCAAAGAAGAACGGTGCCAGAAACACTACATATGCTTCAAACAACTGGACAAAGAAGGGTAAGAAACCCTGACAAAAGTGTACACTCCATTAAGGGTCTCTGCAGTGCAGTGACCCCTGGTTTTCTGCATCGCAGTGTACCTCACATCACACCAACATTGTGGTTGGAACAGCACACAAAATACAATTGTTTTCTATGTGCCCTAGCGGTGATATGCATTTTTCAAATCGCAGGTCACTGCACTGTCTTACACTGGAAGGACTGCTATTTTGTAGATAGGGTAGGTAGTTCTCGGTGCTCATAGCTAACGTAGTATGCTATGCTATCTTTAAGTGCACAGCTTAAAAATATGGCCCTGCTGCACCTGGACTAATGGTTTTCATGCACTTTTTTGTAAAAAATTTGGTTTTGATAACACTTGAACAAATATTGTGTGACAAAAAACTTCGACCGCCACTATTTTAATCTCCAGGGCAGCCAAATGAATAACCAAACCGAAGTGATGTAAGCTGAACCATCTTTGGCTATTCACTGCAGCTCTGTATAACTATTTTTAGCAGTAAATCGGCTGCATTTGGCTCACTTCACCTCCCTTCGGTTTGGCCAGACAGCCGCAGCACGTTTGGCCGAACTGAAGAGAAGATTCCGTTCGACTCAGCTGATGCAACATCTGGTTCGGCCGCAGTGAACGTTTGGCACTTAATTTCCTGCTGTTCACCACTATTCTCAAAGGGGCCAAACAGCAGAGATCGAATAGCCCAATGCTCCGCACAGCATTCTGCTCGGTCATTCTTTTTGCTACCTCAACAGTAGCAAACAGGATGAAACATTTCACTGTTAAAAATTGGAATTTTAAGGGGGGGACCCATGCCCCAAAAAGGAAAAAAAATGAAAATACATGAGTTCCCCCCTAAAATCCCATACCAGACCTTAATCTGAGCAGTGGCCTGGCAGAGTGGGAAAGGGTGAGGGACAGGCAAGCACCCCCCCCCCCCATACCAGG